ATGGAGGACAAAGTTAATCGCCTGGGCCAGTTCGAGCAGAACCAAGTCAACTAACAAGCTCATCGTTCTCAACTACCGCATTATACGCGACGCATTACTATAGGGTCATGTTATTCCTGCGGGGGGTGAGAGGACATTTTGCCAGGGATTGTGTGAATGGTAGCCCTCGGTCATTGTTCCAACGGCAAAGTCCAGTTAGCGGGAAGCAATGTTACGAATGCAAGGGTTATGGACACCTGGCACGAGACTGTGGAAACCATTTAAACGGGCAAGGGGGGACTTGAAGAGTCTAGGCGGAAACGCAGTCCGTCCCCAAGTAAGTGAGAATCTTGATTCTTATTTTCATATTCCTGCCCAACCATATGTTAAATATTGCGTCGGCGGTGTAGAAGTCAACACGCTCATGGGATACTGGCTCAATGCGAACATTTATTAGCGATAATATTCAGAAAATCATTTATATGGATTGTAAGAATTTGGACACCTCGGTGTCAGAACGTTGCAAATCTATAACAGGAGGTAGTCTACAAATATTAGGTCGCATGCCAATAGGTGTTACGTTTTGCAAGAGTACAAACAAGAGAAGTTACATAGGAAATTTTTTAGTTTGCACGAATATCAGTTACGATTGTGTGCTAGGATGGGACTTCCTGGTCAATAATAATTTAGATTTACATGGGGAATCTTTTAAGGGACTAGGTCGTACCGCTTAGTGGGACCTCATGGGAAATCCCTGCTTAGTGCAGTCGACTGCATGGCACCCAGCAAAGGGAGAGCATCTGGAGCTCTTGAGACAGATACCGAGACGGGCGAAACCCGCAATTGTATGACCAGTGACAATAATATTTTAACCCAGTCCCAAGTAAAAGCACCAATATATGTAGGTCTGAAGAATGATGTGATGGTACCAAGTCGAACTGAAATAATAGTTGAAGGTAGACTACTAAAATCTAGTTCTATTCACCAATAAGTGGAGCCGAGGAAACAGAGTATCAACCTAGTTTACATGTTGCGCATGCCGTCGTCAAACCAGAAGAGCGTAGTGTCCCCATTCGAATCTTAAATGCTTTGGACAAGCCACTAGAACTATGTCAGGGTTGTAGAATCGCTGAGTTTTTCCCATTAATTTGTTCTCCTAACGTGCAAACGAGTACACATTGTGCGGTAATGGCTTCTCACACTGTTAAAAAATTTAAAGAAAAAGCTGCGGAACAAATCAATTCTTCCCTAGGCAATACGGATAGGGACAAATTGATAGAGGTTTTGTCCGCTTACCAGGACGTTTTTGAGGAAAGCTTGGGACGTACTCGGGTAGTAACTCATTCAATAAACACAGGTGATAGTCCCCCAATTCGACATCATCCATGCTGTTTACACTACGCACATCGTGAGGAAGCCGAGCGGCAAATAAATGAAATGTTACAACAGGGCGTTATCCGGCCTAGTACTAGTGCTGTGGTCTAGTCCAATTGTGCTTGTTTGTACGAAAACGCAATGGGGAATTTCGGTTTTGCGTTGACTACCGCCGACTTAACGAAGTAACAGAAAACGATTCACATCTGCTCCCAAACATCGCCGATATTCTTGACTCTTTAGGCAACGCACAGTACTTCTCGACTCTTGACTTAAGGAACGGTTTTTGGCAAATATCTATCGATCCCCAGGATCGGCCTAAAAGTGCATTTGTAACTAGTTCAGGGCTTTTTGAATTTAATAAGATGAGCTTTGAGCTTACAACAGCACCAGCCACTTTTCAACACGCAATGGAAATCGTGTTAGCTGGGCTTAAATTTGATAGTTGTTTGTGCTATCTAGACGACGTGATTTGTTTCGGCCGCAGCATAGACGAACACAACATTCGACTAAAAGCCGTCCTCAAGCGATTCAGAATACACAATTTGCGAGTTAAGATGACAAAGTGCCAATTTGCGGCAACCGAGGTCTCATTTCTAGGCCACCGAGTATACCAACAAAGGTGTTAGTCCTGATCCCAGTAAGGTCGTAGCAATCGAGCGTATTTTCGCACCATGTTGTGCCGGATATTATAGGAGCTTCATAAAAGATTTCGCAACGCTGGCGGCTCCGCTGACTAAATTAACTCCCAAAGCGATAGGTAAGCAACCGTTTGCATGGACAAGCGAATGTGAAAACTCCTTTGTTCAACTCAAAAAATTACTCTGCACTGTGCCTATTCTCGCATATCCTAAGTTTGATCGCTTGTTTACTCTCTATACGGACGCCTCTGATGTTGGCTTAGGCGCTGTGCTCTCTCAAACAGACGACCATGGGGTCGAAAGAGTGGTCGCTTACGCATCTAGGGCACTCTGATTGTGAGCGTAAATACTACGCTACCACCGAAAAGGAAGCCTTAGCTATCCACTATGGTATGCAACATTTTCGGTTATATCTTTTAGGGCGCCAGTTTAAAATTGTTACGGATCATTGTGTCTTAAGATGGTTATCCACCATTGAGCCAAAAGGGCGATTAGGGCGCTGGATCATGAATCTGCAAGAGTTTTAATTTTTCATAAAACATAGGGCTGGCAAAATCCACCAAAATGTGGATTCCTTGTCGAGGCTTGTGGAGCGCGCGTGCTCTCAGGAGAATTCGACAACCATTTCAAGCGCCGTGACAACATCTGTACAGATGTTTCGCTCAACGAGTCGCACCATTTGCCAAACCTTGCGTAACGCCGTGTCAACATTCCTCGTCATCACCAAGCACTGCGTCAAATAGTGTCAAATCAAATAATAGCGTCAAATCTGCCGATGATGTTACTTCCAAGTGGGGAGAGAAAGTGCATGCAATTCCTCCTGCAGACCACCTGGTTTTAGTCGTGTTCAATATCACTCAGCCCTACAATCAACCTAAAAGATGCTCAGCGCCAAGATCAGGATTTTGCTTTGGTCATTGATTATATATCCCGCAGGGAAAAGAAGCCCAGTTTTGAGGAATGGAAGTCAAACCCCACCTTGCAAAATCTCTGGCACAACTATGATCGCTTGTTTTTGCACAATGGCTTTGCTCGATCGCGGACAGTACACTCTCCACACCCAAGCTATGCACTCGTCATACCAACCTCACTAGGGAGGACGGTATTAAAAGGGGTACATGACAGCCCCTTTTGCGGTCATATGGGCATTACAAGGAGGCGCGAATTCGCGAACGTTTTTATTGGCCAAGTATTAGGAATTCCGTAGTTGATTACATTAGGAATTGCACAGAATCTGCCAGGCACGCAAGAGCCCACCCAACCTTACTAAGGCCCCCATGCAAACCATCGACGTGGGTGAACCATTCTCCTTTTGCACCCTTGATTATATGGGTCCTATCGCCGAAACCGCGCCCGAAAACAAACACATTCTCGTAGTGGCCGACCATTTTACTAAGTGGTGCGAAGCTTTTCCCACCAAGGATCAAAAAGCATCTACTGTTGCACAAACGTTGGTCAGCAAAGTGTTCTCGCGCTTTAGACCCCCTGTAGTCCTACATTCCGATCAAGGCGCCAACTTCAAAAGCAACCTCATGCACGAAATCTGCGATATAATGGGCATCGCTAAAATGTGTACCACAGCGTACCATCCCCAGGGCGATGGCCAGGTCGAACGTCAGAATCGCACGCTCCAAAACATGTTAGCCGCATTTGTCTCGTCGCGCAGAGACGACTGGGACTTATGGTTGGACCCTGTTGTGTACGCTTACAATACTAGCCGTCAAGAATCCACTATGATAAGCCCATAGCAATTGGTCTTCGGAAAGTTGCCTCGGTTACCACTCGAGTCCGAACTAGGCCTTCCCCTCACAAGCCCCACCACACACACAGAATACACCCAATCTGTACGCTCAACACTAAATCAGGCCAAGGCAATAGCTAGGAAGATTGAAGTCGAATGCCAACGTTAGAATGATGATCTTAACCAACAGCTTGAAAGTTTATGGAAAGACAGGAAGGCATTGAAAATAATGAAAACAACTTTGACCATGGTACATGGCCACTTCCAAGTTGCCCTACCTTCGAGATATAATCCACCTTATTTGCCAAATAATAAGGTTGTGGCATCACACAGAGTCTTCTACTTGAAGAAAAGGTTGATGAATAATGAGAGTCTGCACATAAAGTATCGAGAGACGATGAATAACTATATTAGCGACGGGCATGCTGAAAAGATCCCAGAAGAAGAATTGAACCCAGACAATAGACCTGTTTGGTATGTACCACATCATCCTATTGTGCACCCTCTCAAACCTGGAAAAGTAAGAGTAGTTTATGATTGCGCAGCTACGTATAAAGGGACATCGCTAAATCAGCAGTTGATGTCTGGTCCTGATCAGGCAAATCAATTACTCAGAGTTCTAATTTGTTTTAGACAAGAGAGAATTGGATTGGTCGCTGAGGTAGAAGCTATGTTCCACCAAGTATTAGTAGAGCCAAAGGATTGAGATGTATTAAGATTCTTATGGTGGCCAAACGCAGACCTGTCTAAAGAGTTGCAAGAATACCGAATGGTGAAACACCTCTTCAGCGCTACATTGTCGCCTAGTGTCGCCAATTTTTGTCTACGAAAAACAGCAGAGTTGAAAACAGTGAAGAATTTGACGACGTCACAATAGAGACAGTGAAACGAAATATGTATGTGGATGACCTGCTCAAATCTACCAATACTACAGATAAAGCTATCAGGCTAGTTCAACAGTTGAGAGAATTACTTCAGAAGGGTGGAGTTCGATTGACAAAATGGTTTAGCAACAATAAACTGGTGTTGGCCACAGTTCCTGAATCTGGACAAACGAAGTCAATGATCAAAATTTAACAGAAGATCGGCTGCCAACTGAGAATACCCTTGGGTTAAAATGGAATTCAGATGAACATGCATTTGTGTGGACAATAACGGAAAAAATGCAGTTGCAGTTCACCAGAGAAAAATCAATAACGCGTAGAGGCATGGTGTCGGTGACTTATTCGTTCTTCGGTCCATTAGGACTAATCGCCCCCTTTGTCATGAAAGCCAAACTTTTATTGCAAGTCCTCAGTAGAAAACAAATCAGCTGGGATGATCCTTTGCCAGAGAATGAGTTTGCACAATGGACTTGTTGGTTACAAGATATTCCCAAATTGCAAGAAGTAAAGATCAGTCGTTGTTTCAAGCCACTGAGTTTCAGTGAAATCAAGGTTGTGCAAGTACACCTATTTTCAGATGCTTCACGAGTAGGGTATGCAGCAGTGGCATACCTTCGTCTTGAAGAAGCAAGTGGTAATGTACACATAGCGTTGGTTATGGGCAAGTCGAGGCTGGCACCGTTACGTGAAATAAGTATTCCATGGCTGGAGTTAACTGCCGCTGTCCTCTCAGTAAGATTAGCTACCATAATTCGTGAAGAATTAGACATGTCGATACAGAAAACGTATTATTGGACAGATTATATGTTGGTGTTGAAGTGCATAAATAATCAAACAAAACAATTTCATACATTTGAATCAAATCGTTTAACAGTGATTCATAGAGAAACTGATCCGTCCGAATGGAACTATGTCAATCAAGAAGACAACCCCGCTGATGATGGTTTGAAAGAAATGAGGCTGAATGTCATGATTCAAAATGGTCGTTGGTTAGCAGGTCCCACGTTTCTTAAGGAAAGCGAGAGTGAATGGCCTCGTTTCCAAGGAATACCAAGTTTGAATGATGAAGATCCACAAGTTAGGAAGGAAATTCAGATTTATACAGCCTCTCTCCAAAGCAATGGTTTGGATGTTTTAATCTCATTCTACTCGGACTAGTGGAAGTTAAAGTGAGCAGTGGGTTGGTGGTTACGCTACAAGCAATACCTTCAATACAAGATTAAACAGAGAGGTATTGCAGGATCACCTGAATATCCAACGAAATACTTTGCGTATTAACCTCTGGGGGAATTAGAAACAGCAGAAAGAGAGATTCTAAAGCGTGTCCAGCGCACTGCATTTCCGACTGTGTCTCAGTTAGTATCTAAGTCCGGGCGTCCAGTAGCTATAACAAAGAAGATGCTTCGAAAAGCGGGAACGTCAATCCATCAGCAAAGTCTAGTTCTGAAAGACGGTTTGCTACGAGCAATCATGCAAAAAAGAATTGTGAAACAAATGTGCCAAAGAATAGTCAAATTCACATGGCAATGCGCTTCTTTGGATGCCTGATATGTTTGTCTACTTTGGAGGAACTCAAGAATATCGTTTGCCTGGGCCATTTTATATTCAAAAGCAGATTTGTCGACAGCCGTTTGATGGAAAAATTGACTGAGTTTCGGAACATATCCAAAATTTTACTTTCTTTGATTGCATTGATGATACTGATGATACATCGCAGAGAGACAGTCAAGAGAAAGAGGAAGAAGATATTGTTGACTATGACATTGGAACTGAAAGCTTACTGGCGAGTCCATCAATTAAGCAATTTTGGGAAAAAGAGTTAAGTAACATGAAAACAAATGGTATCAATGAAGAAGTTGGACATGAACTGAACAAATACTATATGCCTAAATATTTTGACTATGTCTTTGACAATTATCTGAACACCTGTTTCTTATGGTCACGTTTGCTTCTCTGGGATTTAGGAAGGCATAATCCAATTTACAACACAAAATGCAGCACCAGAATATCAGGAAGCATGCATAACTACCTGTACGATAATGATACAAATGGTCAAATTGAAGATTTTTTCAGAATTAAGAAACACATTTCTTTTAAGGGAAGGCTAAATTTAAGACTCGACATGTTCATTGGAGAAAACTGGAATGACAACAAAGCCATACAAAGAGAGTTTGTCAAGGCTATTTCCAGTGAACATAATGTAAATAAAATAAAACTTAGAGCAAAATAAAACTTAAAAGCAAAATAGAGAAGCTGTCTACAACAGGAAAGAACCACGTCCAACGATAATGGTTCCCTAAATTTTCAGCCGTCTAATTGTGAAGAACATCATGAGGAGAATGAGTACGATGATCCAGTGGAACAATGGAGTAAGCCAAGCCCAATGCGTCAAACTAAGAACAAAGGGTAATATCTCAAACTGTCCAATAAGAGATTAAATTTTGATCCTTTTTTGCCGACACGATGGGCTGTTTGTGAAGAACAAGAAAATAAAAGTGGAAAAACAAAATTTTCCTCGTATATCGGAATGGTTCTGTTGTAATGTGTCATTTTTGTCATTATGTAATAATTTTCTATATTAATATTTAAATATTCTGTGTGAGTACCAAGGAAGGCATTCACATAATAAGCCTGGTGGTTTCAGAATGTCTCCTTGCCATAAATATTGCCATAAATATTACTCGTAATTTATTTAAATGTTGTACATGTAATTTTATTTTCCTGGTAATTGATATATATGTATATTTGTGGCAAACATTAAACATTAAACTTACTCTTCCAAAAGCTTGAATAGATATTGGTAAAACAGAAAGAACTGCTGGAGTTTCATAGGTGGCCATAAGCAGAGTAAAGTCACTTTCATCTTTCGTCATTGAACCCATGACATATGAGCGATTAACAAGCTTGAAATCATCAGCTAATTTACAACACAGGCTTGAGGAAAAAAACCGTTTAGATCGTTTAGCACAGACTACCAACAGCAGTGCATTTTAATAAACAAACAATAGAATTTGCGATAAGATCTGGGATTCTGCTATAGATCCTATTGTGCTTTATTCCTTATTTGGTCTATGTTTTAATTACTTGTATATATTTGATCAATTTCATAATTATGTATTATCATTGTATGTATAAGAATATCAATATATCATCATCAACACATGCATTAAATGGTAAGTTTTATATTTACTTTGTGTACTTCCTTCTCCGAGAACATTTTTTGACATACGATTATTAAAGTGTTTCTAAAAATGCCTTTTTGTAGTTTCCTACTTCTGCAAAAGAACACGAAAGAAACTGGATTAGCAATCACAGTGGCATTACTGAACACAGGTTTTTCCAAAGTATTAAAATTTCTAACTTGTTCCAATAATTGAAATACAATAAATAATATAAACAATATGGATCTACGGTACAACTATGATGTGGATATTAAGTGATTCCATGCTGAAAACAAGAAACATGATTCCTAGAGAAATGCAAGATTGTGCGGTATCGGCAACCAACTGAACCAACAACAACAACAACAACAACAACAACAACAACAATTTATTTTTCGCACTATAAGCTTACAGTATATAGGTATAAATATATATATATATATATATTACAGGTATAGTAGTGACAGGAAAGCTGAAATAGCTTCAGAGCTAATCTAGTCAGTTTTCCTATAATAGGTGAATTTGAAAGTAATATGAGGAATTTTAAAATAGTACTGTCAAAATAAGACAAAGAACAAAGACTACAGACATACAAACAATACAATATTTTAATATAAGGAAAGCATGCAGCAACAAAAAACGATGCAGATCAGGTCCATTCATACGATTTAAGAAACGACTCTTTCAATTTCCACTTAAATTGCCAAAACTTTAAACATTTTACAGAATCTTCAATATCATTCCAGATTTTTGGTCCGAAAAATCTAATATTAAGTTTACCATAGTTAGTTCTTATTCTTGAAAAACAGAAAGTGGATTTTGAGGCAAATCTAGTGCTATATTTATGTCTACTTGTAGTAAATGTAAAAAAAGACTGGAAAACGTCGGGCAACATACCCTGTGAATATTGATACATAAAAATTGCAGTATAAAACTTAATTATATCTGTCAGTTTTAAAACTTTTAATTCAAGAAATAATGGATTAGTGTGTGCATCAAATTTAGAGAATGTAATAATACGAATGATCCTTTTTTGCAAAATAAATAAAGGTTGTATATTTGTATTATATGTAATACCCCAAACGGTGCAACCAAATATAAGAAATGGATAAATGATAGCATAATATAATTGAATTAAGACTTTTCTTGTTACAAAGTGACGGGTTTTACAGAGAATGCCTATACCTCGAGCTATTTTTTTACATATATTTGAAACATGATCTTTCCAAGTTATATGACAGTCCATCATAATTCCCAAATATTTAACACTCCTAACTTGTTTTATTGATATATTATTAAGGGTCAAATTCAAAGAGTAATTTATCTTCTTTTGATGTGGTTTGAAAATTACAAAATTAGTTTTATCAATATTTAATGATAATTTATTTGAACATAACCATGCATTTACACTACATAGCTCAACATTTATTATATTTTCCATTGTTTGTAAATTTCTATGAGAAAAAAACAAATTTGTATCATCAGCAAAAAGATGGAAATCAAACACATTTGAACATCCATAAAAATCATTAATATATAAAAGAAAAAGTAGTGGTCCCAGCACTGAGCCTTGTGGGACACCACATGCAATTGGTTGATATTGAGAACTATCATCTCCTAATGTGACAAATTGTTTTCTTCCTTTCAAAAAAGAGGAAAACCACTCCCCAGCTATACCTCTAATTCCATAATGCTCAAGCTTGGCAATTAAAATACTATGATCTACTGTATCAAAAGCCTTTTTTAAGTCTAAAAAAATTCCACAAGAGTAGCATTTATCTTCCACAGCCATCTTAATTTTATCGGTTATCATCATAACAGCCTGAGTAGTTGTATAGGTAGATCTAAATCCAAATTGATGATTATTTAATATTTAAAATTTTTCCAAATAGGAGGTAAGCCTATTTATACATAAGTTTTTCAAGAATTTTATCAAAAATAGAAAGAAGTGAAATTGGTCTATAATTACATATATCCAAACGTGAGCCATTTTTATAGATAGGAATAACCCTTGAAATTTTTAATCTATCTGGTACAACCCCTGTTTCAAATGAATGATTAAACAGGATATTCAGGGGAACCTTAATTAATGATTTCAAGAGTTTCATAATTTTTATTGGAATGCTATATGGTCCAATTGCCTTGTTCATGTTTAAATTATCTATTATTACTTCAATTTCCTCTGGAGTAGTATGAGTAAGATAAAAGCTATTTATTTGTGGGCTTATTGCATTACACAAAAATTCATGGTATGATGTACTAACAGTAGGAATATTCTTTGCCAAGCTTGAGCCAATTGTGGAAAAGTAATTATTAAGTGCATAAGCGATAGATTTAGCATCTGTTAATACGGTATTATTCATTTTTATTTCATTTGGTCCTGATAGTCTAGATGCTTTTATAGTTACAAGTTTTTTAATTCCTTTCCATGTTTCTTTAATATTATTGAGATTTTTACTAAAATAATTATTAAAGTATAACTTTTTGCTGGTTAATATCAAATGATTTAATTTATTCCTGTAGGCTTTATACTTACAATGGTTGTACATACATTTATTATTTAGATAGACTTTATACAGCTTATTTTTTACCTTAATTGATTTACGAAGAGCAGTTGTGATCCAGGGTTTTGTCATAAATTTTAATTCTTTTTTTGATATTTTTTTAAGAGGAGCATGCCTGTCGATTATAACAGACATACGGGAATAAAAATAATCAAAAATTTCATTAACATTTCCATCAGATGGTAGTTCATTTTCCCAGTTTATAAGCTGTACTTCTTCTAAAAGGTCTTGTTCATTCAAATTTGAATAATCCCTTTTAACTACCTTAATTTTTTTTGGTGCAAGATATAACTTATCAATAATAAGAAAATTTGGAAGGTGGTCACTTATATCATGTATTATATTCCCACTAATTTGATAATTTTGAAAGTCATTAACAAAAATGTTATCAATTAATGTTGCAGAGTGATCAGTAATTCTAGTTGGCTGCAAA